GCACAGAAGAAAACAAATCTGAGGATGGTAATGGAAACGAAGAAAAATCTGACGAGAATGTAAGTGAAATTGAAGACAGCACAGAGAAGAGTAACAAAGACGTCTTTCCAGCTGGTGACCAGGCTGAAATTACAAAAGAGTCGACCACTGTAGATGGAGCTTGGTCGACCCAATTGGTTGAGTCGCAGAACGAGAAGAAATCACAACAGTCCTCAGTATCTAAGGACCAAAGTAGCTACGGATGGAAAACGTGCAATGTGACTGCTGGGCCAGACTACATCCCTTGCCTTGACAACTGGCAAGCTATCAAAAAGCTTCATACTACAATGCACTATGAACACCGCGAGCGCCATTGTCCTGAAGAATCTCCTAGTTGCCTTGTGTCTCTGCCTGATGGTTATAAGCGATCCATCAAGTGGCCAAAGAGCAGGGAAAAGGTAATTTTTTTATATATATTTTTTGGTTTTAAAAGGTGAACTTAGTATGATTTCTGATAGGAATCAAACCGATAAACTCTTTCTTTACTCAGACTTCTCACTAAAGAACTACACCATAGAAGAGACTTGATTAAAAAGAGAAGGCTCTTACTCTCTCGATGCCCAAACCAAGATACTTGACAAATCCAGATTTTCCCAACAAATTCCCCTAGCTTTCCTTTAAACATTAAGCTACCAACTAACAGATGTATGGTCTGTTACTGATATGTCAAAGCTACAACTCCCTGCTCCACCCCTAGGCTAGTTGCAGTAGTCCTGCGCCAGGCTTAACAAAAAACACCTTATCAGATATTGGAAAAAACTACTTGCTTTAATGGATCTGTCATGACATCTATTCTTCTGTTGTGTGATTGCAGATTTGGTACAACAATGTTCCCCACACCAAGCTTGCAGAGATCAAAGGACATCAAAATTGGGTGAAGATGAGTGGTGAACATCTCACGTTCCCTGGTGGTGGTACTCAGTTTAAGAACGGTGCTCTTCATTACATTGATTTCATCCAACAGGTACAATTTTTATGATGCTTCATAATTTTCTCATTAGTAAGCGTGATTAAGTATTGAAGTAATTATATTGTTGCAGTCACATCCTGCTATTGCATGGGGAAATAGAACCCGTGTTATATTGGATGTTGGGTGTGGAGTTGCTAGCTTTGGGGGTTACCTTTTCGAAAGAGACGTGCTTGCTTTGTCATTTGCTCCCAAAGATGAGCATGAAGCGCAAGTGCAATTCGGGCTGGAACGTGGTATTCCTGCAATGTTAAATGTTATGGGAACCAAAAGATTACCCTTCCCCGGTTCTGTATTTGACCTTATCCACTGTGCTCGTTGTAGAGTCCCTTGGCATATTGAAGGTAAAAGTGTGTCCCATTGTATTCTTTTGCCTTTCTTTTGTATCATAAAATGATCC